ACACACACACACACACACACACACACACACACACACACACACACACAGAGCTGCAGAAGGTCCAGCCCAAGAAAGAGGGGCAGGGGCTGACTTCAGCTGGAGGTTGACTTGCGTTCTTGGATTGACTTGGCCATAGGGCTGGTTCTTGGCTTCATCGTTTTCGTGTACCTCCTCACCAGTATCAGAGAACCTTTGAGAGGGGAGGCCTCTTAGTTCCCATTCCCATGCCCATCGCCATCCTCACCCTTATCTTGTTTTCCATTTCTGATCATATGCCCATCTCCTGCCCATTCCCACTTCCATCCTCATTCCCATGCCCATCACCATCCTCATTCCCATGCCCATCACCATCCTCACCCTTATCTTGTTCTCCCTTTCCAATCCTAGCCCGGTCCCCAGCCCTTTTCAGCCTCTATCACCACCTCACCACTCAGGATGTATAATGTGGAAGTGCCCCAGCCTAGGTAGAAGACCCATTCGAAGATAAAGTGATTGATGCCATGGATAGAAATCACTTGTATGCTGATCATGAAGATGATCTGGGCAACAAGGCCCAGTAAGGCTGCAGGAAGAATTAGATGGTGTCATAGCCCCAGAACAGCAAGTGTCCAGCCTCCCATCACCTCTTAACCAAGCCCCATAGGGACAATGGAGTCTAGGTGTCTTACCAGTGACAAAGCTGCACATGGCAGAGGAAAGGTAGTAGAATGTCGTATCATTCACTACATTGATCAGTATCAGGAAGATGTCCACAAGAGCCAGGAAACCTGTTACAATGGCTGTGCCCATCAGCACTTGAACTACCTTAATTAAGACTGGAGAAAGGCAGTGATAGCAATGGCTAATCACACACACACACACACACATACACACACACCCCTAAGTCCCCAGGGTCAGTCTCCTGTGCCCATATGCCCACCCACAGGAAGAAACATTCTTAGACTAATGGACACCAAGTTGCTTAAATCAGGTTCAGTAGACTTGGGGATCTTCTTTTCCTCTATCTTCTACCTTTATTCCCATCTCCACTTTCATTCTCTACCCTCCATTTCTATTCTCCATATTTATCCCTGTCCCTATCCATATTCACTACCTCCTTCAATATCCTCATCCCCACTTTCTGCCCTCCATTTTCCTCCCTATCTTTATGTACCTGAATTCAGAATGTCCTCACACATTTTGTCCCCACATGGCTTCCATAAGCCCATGTAGAGATTGGTGTGAGACACTTGAATCTTCAGCCAATAGGGCAAGAACACAGTGAGAAGGAGAAGCATAAAGCAAAAGCTGTTTAGGACCATTTTGATGGTCACCAAGCCCTCTGTGTTGTTGAATGAATTCCAGTCCTGTTTCTTCATTTTCTCCAAAGACTGAGAGGCTTTGGGATACAAGGAAGGCAAAGCCTAGCCCAGGCTTGTTCCGGGACCCTGGACTATCCTTCAGTCTGGCCTTGTTGTGCTTTGCTTCCTTCCTATATCCAATCCCTGATGCTTGACTCCAATTTCTCTTAATTTCTGCCTGCCCCTCTGCTTTTCCTCAGATATCTCCCTGTCCTCCATAGTTATTTCCCATCTCTTCAGTTTCCGCCCGGGTCTTGATCTTTTCTTATCCCATCAGGTCCTTCCCAATCTCCTCAATTCATTCCTGGTCCCCTCAGGTCCCTCCTAGTCCCCTTATATTTTTCCTCTGGGTACAACAGCTGTGCTTCTCCGATCTTCCCCGCTCGCTCAAGGGCCCCAACTGCCATAGAACCTTCCACGACCCCCAAGGCTGACATCATCACCCCCTCTTAGTTCATGGCAGAGGAAGGGGGATGAAATGAAGCTTGGAGTTAAGAGCAGAGATAAAGATAGGGAATGGGTATGGATTTGAGGGTGGGGTGAGTTGGAGGTGGCTTGGGGAGGGTAGTGGAATTGAAGTTAGGCATCAGGGAAAGGATAGAGGATGGGTTTAGGTTTGGGGCTAAAGATGGGTTTAGAGATAGAGTTGGGAAGGACATTAGCAATCTAGTGGGCTTAGAGATACGGATGGTAGAGAAGGGGGTACAGATGGGGAGTGGGGTTAGAGATGGGGATAACTATAATGGGATCAAGATGGCCATTAAGATGATGGTGGAACACTGGGTTGGGGAAGAAGCCCCAGGCTTTCTTTAATGATAGCAACTTCATCTAGGAAATTGACAACCGTCTCTTTTCATCCTTCTGTCTCAGTAGATATTCCATATTCTCTGGCTTTCTGTTTCTGGTCCACTTAGCTTCACCACATTCAATATCCAGGTTCCTGTCTACACCCTCATTTTCTCCAAGGACCTCAAGAGGGTAGAGACAAATCTCACAGAGGGCAAATCTTACTTTGCTGGGGGAAGGGGAGTTACGATGTGGAAAAGGAAGAAGTTTAGACACCTCCACCAACAGAGAAATGCTTGCTCCTAAAAGGCAATATTTTTACCATCCAGTAAGAGAGTTATGGCTATGCGGAGCGGGTAACGGAGATAGGTGCCTTTGAGATCTTGGGAGCAAAACGTTAGAGGTCTGTGGGTCTTGAAGTAGAACTCTGAGGACTAGAGTGGCTGAGACTTGGGGGTTTCATAGAGATTGATTGAACCCTAAAGCCCAAAGGGTATGAGGAGGTTTTATGGTTTTGGGAGACCCAAGGCTGCTCAGAGCTGCAGGATCTGTTAGACAGTTGGG